ACACACACACACACACACACACACACACACACACACAGAGGAGACATGATTTCACATCAACACACTGTTTTATAATCCGTCAACAACACACAACACGAGCGAACCCCTGGAGCTGTGTGAGAGCACACGTAACTTGCTGCACACTTTGATGATTGATAAGTAATGAATAATCGATGCATGTCATAATAAACACACGACAGCAGCCTCCTATCACTGATCTCCTCACAGCCACGGTGACGCTCCGCACAGACGCGTCATCTCTTACCTTCGAGTCGACCGCTTTGCCTTTGAATGCCATCTCATGCTTGTTTATAGGCCGGAATATAATAATGCGGGGCTGCTGCGGGATGTGCGACCCCGTTAATCCCGCGACTCACCGGACGTCTCCCGCCATCTAGCGGCGAACGCACGGCTCAGGCTGCGTCCACAGCCCCGAGTGTCTGAACTCGTTTCACCTCGTATCACTGAAATCAAACTCTCTCCTCGGCGTGCGTGCACCAAGTGTTCGCAGAGTCAGTCGTGCTATAGCAAAAAAAATAAAATAAATAAAATAAAAACCACGCATTGGGTGCCGTCTATTTCCTGGAGGTTTTCGTGCGAAAACGGCGAGATGTGCGAAACGTCCCTCCACCGGAGAGCCGCCCTGTGGTGGGAGGGATTGAACACTGCTGCAGGTTAGCTGGAGACAATCATCTCTGTTGAACAGGAGTGTGTGTGTGTGTGTGGACACAACAAAAACACACACAAGTAACGATCAGTCCACAGTGGTGACTTCAAATCATAGAAACATGAAGTACCACATGTCTTCATGCGCAGGAGCTGAGGGTTCCTGCCAGAATGAAAAAAAAAAACCATGTCTCCACGTTATATCACACTGGATGATTGTCTTCATCATAGAGAAGAATAAGATCCACATGTGGTGTTTGTTCTCCCCGATCCCACTCAACGCCGCTTGTTTCCTTTTGTTATCGCATCATCTCACACACATGGATGCCTTTTAACCGTAGAATGCAGAATTTGGCTGAAAATGTCACTTGAGGTTATTGTGACATGGCTGATTTTATTTAATGCAGCTCTCAGCTCCGGTGAGAACGGACCGATCGCAGCCTGAGCTCGGGTGGGGGACTCAGGAGGAGGAGGAGGAGGAGGTTGGGGGCTTTGAGGAGGTGAAACAACCGGTTTTCAGCCCGCAGATGAGACGGCCGGTCCCGGACGTTAACAGTAGACACTGCGGTCGGTCCCTGCGCTCCTTCTATCCACACTCTTCTTCACTGGGGAGGAGGAGACTTGTGCGGGCACCGGGTGAAACACAACCCCGGGTGAGAGTACCGGTTGTATCGGCATGTGAAGTGACTTTCAGCGGTTGTGTTCGTGGGCCGGGTCGCGGCTGCTCACGCGCCTGGTGTCGACCACAGATACAGAACTTTTCCGAGCCCCAAAGTTGTCAGGCAGCGCATCTTGCACGCATGCGCACATCCGTCCTCTGCTGCTCTAAATAAGAGTTAAAACAGAAACGAGGTGAGTTCCACATTTTTTTTAAACAACACCGCAGCTAAACACATTTTATTTCCACGAGCCGAGGCGACATTAGAAAAAGCTCCGAGCTTCGTGTTCCTCCGCGGGGTCAGTTCACCTTATTTCCTCTGTGATTTAAAAACGGCGAGAATAAATCGTTTTTGTTTTTTTCAAGTTTCTATTGAAGAAATTAAATCAAGCAACAATGGAGACAGGAGCGTCGTGTTGTTGCGAGAGTTCGCGTTGCTGTGGGAAATATTCGCGTTGGGTAAAATGCGTTTTCCTCCTGTTATTATCCGGGGAAACTTATTTATTACAGATTGTCCTTTGCTGGCTGCATCCAGGCACAATGCTACGGAGGCTAGCCGCGGAGCTAACCCCCTCCGTACGTTCAGCTGGGCGGAGTGGAGCTAGCTGCCTGTTAGCTTCATGTCAGCGGTAGCTAGCAACCTGGGCTGACATTCCGTGACAAGGGGAAAGTGAAGAAAATAGCCGGAGCGAAGGAAAACACCAAGTCAGGAAATTACACCGCAAACATCGGCTCCTGTTCGACGTGTAGCGGCTCCGCGCGGTTTGTTTAAATGGGTAACTTGAGTAATTTACATAGTTTAAACGTGTTGGTGGCCTCTTCCTATGCTCCGCCATTTTGTATAAGACGAATGCTAATCATGGGCGCTCTTCCATACACTTTATTTATGGCCAGAATAAAACTGGGCTGCGAGGAGCGGAGTCAAACTTCATCCAGACGCAGTGGCCCGGCCTGTTGTTTACTTTGCACATGGTTATGGCCGCGGTGCGAGCACAAAATCATTCCTTAATTCATTGTTGATCCTGCGTCAACACTAAAACGTTATATCGCAATATTAGTCGGATTAAAACGTGCTTAAGTTTGGCCGCTCGGCGCAGAAAACAGTGTTCTCCTCAAATGTGATAAACCAGCGATCGCCTCGTTTGTTTATTAGCAGGCAAACGGCGGATTTGGGGAGATACTGATAAAACAAGAAAAAGATGAACTTGTGTGGTTAACTTAAAGTTGAGGCGTCTCTCCTCGCCTCTGACAGTGATCGTGGTGGAGGTTCGGTCTAACGAGTCCGGTTGTGCGCGTGCCCGCCCGCGTGTTGACCAGCAAAACATTATTATTATTGACTGTTTTGTCTGAAATCGAAGTGCATGGTGTCTCCTGCGAGCCGGCGCACAGTCGCCATCTAGCGGTGATGCTGCGTGGTGCTGTGTACAAGTGCAGGTAGACACTGTTGGAGCTCATCGCAGGTATCGTGATGATCACACGGGCAACACGAGAGATGAGGATCAAATGGACAAATGACAGGATCGTCATTCGATTTGTCCGCTGAAGCTGTTTAATCCTTGTCTTTTGTATATTTTTTTCACATCTGTGATGTTCTTTTGTTGATGTGTGCCATTGTTTTTAATCTGACTTTTCTGTTTTTGCAGGTCAGGGGTTATTAGAGGAGTGGGAATGACCGACACTCCACCCAGTGATGGCCCCTCCCAGGGAGCGGAGTTCGACATGATGGGTGCTCTGGACTGGAAGGATGGAATCGCCACTCTGCCAGGAAGTGACATCAGGGTATATGAGAGACACATGTTTTTGTTCCCTTCCAAAATTCATCGTTCACTCTATAATTGTTTGTGTACATGTCATTGATTACACAAAGATTTGTGTGAGCTGGGTTTCCTTAAGTGGTTACTAAGTGAAGGGAGACCATGTTGCTTGAAACATTGGCTTGGCCATTTGGCCTGAAATTGCTCCTGTGTGAAGGTTGTGGTTTTAAACTCTTCCTTATGGGCAGAGAATGAAGTAGATCGATTATGTTTTAGTTGCTGTACTCGAAACAAAGACCAAGTCTCCAAGTATAATTTCAACAACACATTCTTTAAAGAAAGAATATGAGCAAATGCCAATGTAAGGGAGAGAGACGATTGCTTTGTTTGTCATTTGCAGAAGAGCTGAATGAATTTACCAGCTCGTCTTAACAATGTCCTTGTAGAAACCCTGATGAGCATATCTGCTTCTCTTTTCTTTGTGTTTTTCAGTTCCGCATGACAGAGTTTGGGACTCTTGAGATTGTCACAGACCCAGAGGTCAAAGGGCAAGAGGCAGAGCCTAACCGCGAAACCTTGGACCCAGCTCCGACTCACACTCCCACCCCTCCTCCAGAGGGCCAATCACAGTCTGGCACAGCCAAAGTTCCAGCCAATCAGAGTCAGCTAGGATCATCTCAAGCTAAAGGTACAGCAGCACATGTTTAACATTTTATCAGTGATGTAGAGTTGCAGCGTTATTTTAATGCTCTACTCAGGTTTTTTGTGATAAAAACCTCTTTTCTTCTTCTCTGTCATCAGCCACTGGTTCTGTGCTTCTGTCTCTAGAGGAGGGCCCCAGTGTGGAGGATGGTCCCAGTGTTGAAGTTGGCTCCAGTGCTAACATGGGCCCAAATGGGGAGCTGTCAAGGTGCCGGGCCTGTGGGGGTCGTGTTCCTCGGGATGCCCTCTTTCAGGGCAGGTTCTGTAGCCCTGTTTGTGCACAGCCCTCCAGCGGCAGGTGAACACACACATTGTTTTCTCTAATACACAAGTTTTCAAAAATGTTGTCTGTGGGCCACCCCTTGGATAAAACTTAAAAAAGGATCCCCTCACCACATTGTAGTTCACTTGCTTAGCTTCACTCAATTTCTGGATGTCTATGGAATCATTTTTATGTTATTTGATCACATAGACACTCAGAAATTGAGCAAAGACAGTCTAATGTTGCTGTTTGACATAACTTCAGGAAAAGGTCTAAAAGATTAATTTATTCATTCTTATTCTGGGAAATTGGAAAAACTATTGAAACACCTGAAACTACCAAATCTCTGAACCATCCCTTTAACTAAATCATGCACATTTAGGCAGTTTTACATGATCTCCTCTTTCAATGTAATTTCTTTGTATTCCCATTCACTCGAGTGTCCCATGAAGTTGTTTGGAGGAGCCCCCACTTTGAAAACTTCTGCTCCAACTCCTCCTTCCTTCAGATTATTTTGGTTTGTTATTTCCTCTGGGGTCAAATCTTTCTTCTTTTTTTAAGATCGTCTCCAGGGGAAGCGCGGGAGAGTCAGACAGTTGAAGGTGAGAGGCTCGGCAAACGTGTGCGCAAAAAGAGGAAGATCTATATGGACTCTGGTGAGGAAGAGGAAGACAACCAAGAGGAACCGGAGGTCAGGCGGATACTTCTAAGCATTTGTCACTTGTGTTGTTTTCTTCCAAAACTAATGGCAAATGAAAATATTATCTTCAGTAAATTTTGAATTCTTCTCCTTGAAGAGTTGAGAGAACACACAGGAAACCTGAGGAAAAAACATTGATTGTTCTGAGTTTTTATATTTTTCTTTCTTTTTTCCTTTTGTAGGAAAAAGCCAAAACTACCAAAGGCAGGAGAGGTGCCAAAATTGCAAAACTGGGTATGTTAGACTACTGCCACTGTGAGGAGCAGGGGGGGATGGAGAAAATATTTTTGTAGTCTCCAAGTCTCTACATCTTATTCAAATATAAACTCAAGGCCACTAAAAATGGTCACTGTAGAGGACTCTTCCTTAAATTCAGTTTTTAAAACGTTGCAGTATTACTGGTGAGAAACTAAGTCCGTTTTGAAGACTTTCCTCTTAAGTATCACCAGTAGCTTTTATTTTCAAATATTTAAACGTAGATGAAAAATGTAATTTTTTTGTTTGGCATTTAAATTGTCTTAATTTTGAATTTACCTTTTGTCATTAAGTTTGACAGTTGACAAGAAGGACTGAGGACTAAGATATTTTTAGGTTCTACATCAGTATACTGTATTTTGTGCATTTTCTTATGTACATAAAATTCATAGTACTACCATCACTAATACATATTCTATATATTATACAGATTCTCTGGTCAATGTTCCTGGTTGGGGAGTTTTATACTGTATCCATAATGTTTTTATGCCCCTGTAGTGACTGCCCCTCCCAATAAGAAGCGTGCATGGAGCTGGCCTGCTTACATTGAAGAGGAGAAGGCCGTCGCTGCTCCTGTTAAACTATTCAAAGAGGTATAATCCCGTAATGTTTAGTTTGACTAGATGATGTTTTTTTGTTTATCTGGTGTCTGTTAAACTGAATTGTGCTGTGATGTACATTTTGTCTCTCACAGCATCAGTCCTTCCCTCAAAGCAGGAACAGTTTTAAGGTGGGGATGAAGCTTGAGGGACTGGACCCATCTCACCCATCTCTGTTCTGTGTGCTCACTGTTGCAGAGGTACGAGTGCTAATGGTTGTTTATGGATTTGATTTAGAATAAGATTGTGTATTTCCTTATATCTGTTCAGACTTTTGAATGTCACTGTCGTTATTCGTCCTGAACATATACACGTTGTCTCTTTCCCTCTCAGATCCAGGGATACAGGGTAAGACTTCACTTTGATGGTTACCCAGAATGCTATGACTTCTGGGCCAATGCTGACTCGTGGGATCTAAAACCAGCGGGATGGTGTGAGAAGAATGGACACAAGTTGTTGTTGCCTAAAGGTAGACACAATTTTACAATTGAACAAAACAATGGAAATGAAACATTTTTATAAATTTGAGGTGCAAACGTGCTGACACAGTTTGTGTTGTAGGTTGTAAGGATGGAGAGTTTAATTGGAGCATGTATGTGAAGAACTGCAGGGGGCAACTGGCCCCGAAACACCTTTTCAAGAGCCTCAACACAGTGAGCATTAACCACACAACCACATCCACTGAAGCCGCCTGAAAGCATTGTGTATGCACAGATTAAATGTGAGTTAAAACATTTTTTTCCTTTCAGTCTGTGACTCCGTCTGGATTCAGGGCTGGGATGAAGCTGGAGGCGATTGACAGGAAGAATCCCTCGTTGATCTGTGTAGCAACCATTGCTGCTGTTGTCGACAACCGCCTGCTCATTCATTTTGACAACTGGGATGACACCTATGATTACTGGTGAGAGCCTGGCTTGACACTGAAAAAACCGAGATGATCCACAGATATATTCGCTAGTCCACCTAGGGCTCTGCTATAGATTGAATTCAAGTGAGATCACTAGAGCCGCACTGAATCCCGGATAATCTCCTGAAATGATTTGGAGGGGCTGTATGCGAGAACTCAAATGATCCAGTCAGGGACTTCAGACAATTTCAGGAGTTTCTCGTGCCAGCCCCCAAGTAAAACTCTGGGGAATGTCTGAATGAGCCCATGTGAACATTAACGACTTTTCTAACATGTGATGGACGCAAAATTGGAAAAAACTGATGAAAAAGAGAAGCCATACAAATAGAAGACTCCAACGAAGATGTCAACCTGCAAAGACATCAAGATTCAAGAGCTTTGGTGAAAAGGGCTGGTGTCGATGTGCTGTGGACAAAAACACATGATCTCGGCATAGGAATTGATTCGTTACATCCTGTCCCCTGAATGCTGTGCCACCCTTTGTCTGAATGCTTTTTGTCTGTTGTTGTGAACGTGTCTGACCAAAGTCTCCTGCTGCATTCTTCATGTGGGAAATGCAAACTCAGGAGAGAGTCTGGTTTCTGGTTGTCTGGACTTTTTTTGTAGTTAATGCCGAGTAAAACGCCTACATAGCTTCTGCATAATGCTAATGTAGTGTGTGTATGAAAAGGTGCACAGAATGAAGGCGATATGGTTTTAAAAGTTTGCAGATGGATCAAAGTTTGTGGTTAAGTTGGACACGTTTTGTCTGTATGTTCACCTGCACGTTGTGTTACGTTAAGGTGCGATGCCAGCAGTCCTTACATCCATCCTGTTGGGTACTGTGAAGAGGCCGAGCTAACTCTGACCACTCCAGCTGGTAAGACACAGACCAAGACACATGTGGGTCAGTATAATCTACTTTCATATACAGTAGGGCCGGACTAATGTAGGATCTAATATGAGCTAATTAACAGTTTGACTCTACTAATAAAGCTGAAAGTACTTAACACTTTTCTGGTATATTTATTTACTACTGTAAGAAAGAACTACTCAACTCTATTAAAATCAAATATTCACTGTAATTTGTGTACAAACGGATGCATGCTGCTGTCTTCTCCTGCCGATGCAAAGCTTGTCTCTGCTTTGTGATCTATTATACTATAATGGTGTCTGTGTAAATGTTGGTCTCTCGTCAGTTACCAATGGATCTAATGAGATTTTATTTCATTTTCTTAGAATATAAACAACCGAAGAGTTTTTCATGGGAGAAGTACCTGGAAGAGACGGGAACACAGGCGGCTCCTGCTCGGGCTTTCAAACCGGTACAATTTACAAGCACATATACATAAACACTGATTTACACTCCTCTATGAAATGGTGTTTTTATTATGATGCTATGTATTTGCAGCGACCTCCTCATGGCTTCCAGTTTGGGATGAAAGTGGAAGCTGTCGATAAGAGGAATCCCATGCTCGTCCGTGTTACAACTATAACGGACACAGAGGACCATCGACTGAAGGTGCGACAACGTCTCATCAAGACGCTCTCGGATTCGACTCTGTGCTCAGCTTATGTCTAATTTTCCGTCCACTCCCCTTTGTCTCGTCCAGATTCATTTTGATGGCTGGAGTTCAGAGTACGACTACTGGGTGGAGACAGACTGCCCCGATCTGCACCCTGTTGGGTGGTGTCAGAAAACTGGACACCCACTACAGTACCCTAATGGTGAGACACACTGAAGCTCTCCCTGTCTCTTCTGCTCTGCCTGGTTTTCAATGAGAATAAAAATTACAATTTCAACAGATGAGTCAGCAGAGTTCACCTCTTCCTTCATTTAACTTCTGGATTTGGTGGTGGGAGGAATCTGTAATGAATCCAAAATCCTTGTGTGTGTCTGTGTGTTTATTTCAGGCACCAATGATAATATATTGACTGCCCCAGGACAAGGATGTCCTACCCCAGGATGTAATGGTGTTGGCCACATCAGAGGACCTCGCTATGGGACACACTACACGTTAGTAGCACATACTCAGTTTTAAGCTTTCATAGTCAACATCGACACTTTGTTCTCTTTTGAAAATGTATCAGCTCTGCTACGGATACATACAATTGCTAAATTGGAGAAGTTTGGAAATGCAGCTGGTCGCATTTTAGTTTAAAAACTGCAACGAAACAACTGATTCAATTAAATCTTTTCTTACTCTTTTAGTAAATGCGATTTAAATGCTCTAGTGTTGTCTCTAAAATCGAAATCTTGTACACTTTATTTCAGTATTTGAAGATGTTATCACTTTTTCTCTCACACTGCTTTAATGAGTAATCTTCACATTGGTAAAATTTCAGGTATTCATATTTTATCTTTGTTTGGAGCCTGTGTTTTCAGTATGTGCAGGAGTAGAAGAAATGGTTTCAGTGAACATAAATGTCATTTGTGCTTGTGTGGGTTGGCGCCAGCATAAATGTGTTGCTTGTGTTTGTATGTGTGTGGGAGTTACAGGCTTTAAGGTGATCGTTTTAGCTGCATTTCCTTCCTAATTGTTGTAACCTGTTTAATGATCTCATTCACAGTTATAAAATGAGTGTTTGTGGCGGTGATGGGCCTGGGTAAAGTTTGTGTGTCTCTGTGTGTGTGTGTGCAGTCAGGTGAGCTGTCCCTATTCTGAGATTAATCTGAACAAAGAGGGCTTGCTGCCAGACCGTCTAAGCGGAGAGCGGCTCCTCACCCTCAGTGGACCTCATCCTCGCGGGCGACGCCCCGATCCTCACCCCAACACTACGACACAGACCTCCTCTACGCCTGAGCCAGCCGAAGGAGCTGAGGACTCCCAGAACAGGTCTGCTGCTGAACATGCACAAGGATGACACTTTACACTGCACGAACACATTGTGAAAGCCACTTTCACTCTCAGGAGCTCTCCAATCAGGGTTTTGAATGCAATTCTATCCAGTGGTCGGCTCTTGAGATGTGGGTAATGTGTGTTGCTAGGAAACTCGCGACAGTGGAAGCTGAGCGTGTAGGGCGCAGCAACCAGTCTGAGCCACCGGGTGGAGCCAGCGAGCAGAGCCACAATGGAACAAGACCTAAACGGTAGCAGTTGTGACACCATCACACCAAACTGTGCTGCTGCAGTTCAGTGCAGAGGATGTTCCTGTGCCTCAGCATTTAACCTCTAACGTGTACATTGATGTCTTCCTCAGGACTGCACCAGTTCCTAAATACCTGAAAATGCACTATGTTAAAGAGGAGATCGGCGACAGTAAAGGTGTGTGTGTGAGAATGTGTAAAATGAAAAGAGATAAAACATAAATAACCACCTCATCCCACTGACTGCTGTCTCCTCCTCCTCCTCAGCCTCTCCAGATGCCATCTCTCTCCAGCAGGCCCTCCACGAGTCCGTGTTCTCCCCCGGCATCTCTGCCTCCCCCCCTCACCGGGTGGCTCTCTGCTGGGACAAACACTGCCAGCTGCTGCCCGAGGTCCTGGGGCTGACTGCCAAGAGAGTGGCCACTTGGAGCGCCGAGGAGGTCAGACGTGCTCACTCACTCACACACAGTGTCAACACATGAAAAGCAGATGATCTCCTCATTCACTGACCAAACATGAAGGCATCGAGTTGTTCAGAGAAACAAAATGAATGAGCAGTCAGCCTGAGATTCATGTTAGCCACTGAAAATAGTAGATAAACATTTATTGGCTTGTTTGTAGCTGTTCACTGCATCTTGTCTCTTTTCTTGTTATCAGGTGGCCAGTTTTGTCAAAGGACTCCCTGGATGTAAAGAACATGCTGCTACTTTTAAAACAGAGGTGAGCACGTCATACATTCGTTAACCAGAACTTCAATCTACTGACAAACTCTAAAAAATCTGCAAATAATACATTTTTTAGTCTAAACTTCATGATCATTTTTTCAAACATACTTAATTATTCATATTGTAGATCTAGATTCACATCTTTTATAGTTTGAATGCTAATAAACTTAATAATTAATTTCACAGTTAGGCCCTCATGATGATTCGTATGGTTTAAGTTTTTCATTTATGCCATAGAATTGTTAAAAATGATGTTATACCCCCGTGCACTCCCTTGCTATCTTATAAGATTTAATTTCAAAATGCTTTCGTATGATTATTAAGTCACCCAAAAATCCTACAAGTCATCATTAGTGTGCAACTATGTTTTATTGAAAGGGGGCCGACAGTGCTTGAGACTGGATGATGAACGTTAATGAGCAGGATGATTCTTTCAGAAGTTGGTAGAGACCAAAAAATGTAACTGAAAGAGAATGAATATTAGATTTTTACAGAAACACAACTCAGCAACTACAATAAGTAACTCTGTTTCCTTGTAGATTGTAAATTATAGATAACTGTAATGTTTTGCTCCCAACTTGTGTCAAGAACATCAGTTATTGAAGGTTTGAAGATGAAGAATAGGAATCAGCTGCTTCAGTTAAAAGAATCTGTTTCTATATTAGTCTCAAAAAAGAGTGATATGAAAGTGAATCCTTTTTTGTACCCTTAGCAAATAGATGGCGAGGCCTTCCTGCTTCTCACCCAAGCGGACATCGTCAAGATACTGTCAATCAAGTTAGGACCCGCCCTGAAGATCTACAACTCCATCCTCATGTTGAAGAACGCTGACGAAGAGTGACACGTGGATCTGGGAGGATTCGATTCCTCATTTCCAGTCTCTTCAACAAACACTCGGCTGAAGACATTTGAGCTTAATATTTGATGATCGCTGCATTGATGCAGCTGCAGAAATGAAAGAAAAGGAAGCCATCATCTTGAAAAACGTCCATCTAACCCCCCCCCCCACCCATCTCCTCTCTCTGTGAGGGGCACTGGTCGACCTTGAGGGAAGATACCATGAGGATTTCACTTCTATTGTGTTTGTTTACCTACCAAATCATATAAAAAAAAACTACAGCACCTTTAAGGCTTCTTAATATTGTACAGTTAACTTGGATTTCGTGTCTCGATTCTGTTGCATTTCTTGTTTTATTTGAACGCTATTGAAATGGTGCTTGAGCTCAGAGCCGATAGAACAAGCGTGTTTGTGGTTTGTTGCTTTTTACTTGGCAACAGAAATGCGTTTTTTTTTTTTTTAAAGCTGCAAAATACAATCGTGAGGTGTCGAGGTTTTTAAATGTGAAACCCAGTGGAGCAGAAGCACTATGTAGTTCAGCCTTTCTCCTCTAGATGGAGAAAGTGAGCCACTCTACAGGCCCAGAGGCAGAAGAGTTGGGTTAATTTGGAGTTGGCTGAAGCTAAGGTTGAATGGGAGGGGGGTTAAAATTAGTGTGTGTGTGTGTGTGTATGTGTGTGTGTGTGTTTGAGAAACCAGGATGTAATTTCCCAGCAGCCTGTGTGTGTTGCTTCTCTGTTGTGACGAGCAGGGCTAAGGGCTAATTGTTAAATCAAGGAAACTTGCAGTCTGTTGAGGTGGAATGAAACAATGAACCAGCTTGTGTTAGCTTTTCTGCTTTTTTTGGGAATGGCACATGAAAATGAATGTTTAAAAAAAACACATCTTTTAGTTGTTCTGTTGATAACGATCATCTTGTTTGGTTCAAATAACCTCCTGTCACTCACGTTGTAAATAATATAAAGCTACAAAACAGACTGTCTTTGCTTCTTACGAGAGTTTACTCCTGCTTGGTTATGCAAAACCTTGACATCTGTCTCCAGGGAAGGACATTGTGACAGTGGACCGAAAAAACACAAGCCTCGATTCGTACATAGATTCTGGGAAGACAAAAAAAAGAAAAGAAAACATTGTCGGTGTCTTTGTTAATGAGCGTGCACTTCAGCCAGTTGGAATGTGTACATCAGCAACTGTTTATATGCAAACAGCTTTTATTTATGTATTCTAATTTAAGGGGTAATGGTACGCTGGCTGCTCTGGAGGTAGATGTGGCTCCTTGATGGAATGTGTGAATGGATGAAAATAAATGAGATGCACACTGCCTGCTGTCCTCAACTGACCTCAGTCATTTCACCACACACACACACGCACACAGACACACAGAGATTATCTAAAATTGTGGTCTTTATCTGTACACTTTAGAGTTAAAGAGGTGGAAAACACATTTACTCAAGTACTCCACTTAGTACATTTTTGAGGTACAAGTAGTTTGACAAACAGTTGCAAATTAAGGTTCATGCACTTTTCTAGAGCTTTTAACCAGATCATGGACTTACAAGGCAAATAGAGATTTTTAGGTTTTGATATGTTTACTCTGTATTTCTGTTTTTCTCCCTACACTGGTAGCTGGACAAAGCAAACACGAACAGCAGAAATGTCTAAAGTAACAGACACAATCTTTGGAGTGTTTTGACTTTTATATTTAATCCATCTCCCATCCACTAACATGGAGGAAGTGGGTTTTATAACTGCAGCCTGCCACCAGGGGCATGGTAATAGAAGCTTTGGGTTCACAGGATCCCCTGCTGTGTTCCCACATCGACCTCTCCTGGATTTCTATACATTTCTTTATGCTAGGAGGTCAGGCGGATAAAGTCAGCAGAAACGACAGGATATTTGCGTTCCTCTGGAGTCCAGTGCATGAGGGCAGCGTAACGGACATGTTGGCTGAGACACGGCAGCAGTGTCTCGTGTAAGAGTCCGTCTTCTGCTTCTTTAGCATTAAAGGCAAAAGTCCACAAGCTGTGTTTGTGTAAATGTGTTTTTATACTACACATCCAAACATTTCACCAGTGCAACATGTGCTCTTACATCAGGACGTGGAGGTCAAACACTGTCAGAAAGTCCTGCTCCTACATGCATGACACGTGACCCAACGCTCAACAAGGACACCTAGGGACCATTCAGGTGTCCTGCATTCTACGGGGTTTAAAAATGGCTCCTACAAGTGTGGTCCTTTAAGTCAGCAGTGTGACTCACTATTATTTTACTTTAACGCTTCATACAGACTCTGAATGTTCTCCTTTGAAAAACACTGGATGGTTGGTGATCACTCAGAATAACAGAGCTCACCGTGGGACTGGCCTGGAGCAGCCACAGATTCCCACGACCCCTCCTCCACACACACACACACACACAGACACACACACACACACACACACACACACACACACACACACACACACACACAGGGGGCTGCACAGGCGCTCAGGCAGTGAGGAAACAGAGGCAGAGCAGCTTTGCACCACTTTTTCCAGAGACTGTTATTTGCTATAAAAGCTTCACTTCAGCAGGAGCCGCACCGAAAAGACGAGGAAGAGGAGAAGCGTCTTCATCGGAGGAGGAATGAGGTGAGAGAAGAAGTGTGGATGTAAGAATCAAAGTGCTGGAGAAGAAGAAGAAGAAGAAAAAGACGCACACGGTGGAGTGGGAGGAAAAACGCAACTCAGCCTGGTTTATCTCGATGATGCCGAGGATCCAGTTTCTGCTTCGGATTCACGTCCAGCACAAGGCAAGTACCCGATGTGATCGCTCACTGGCCGCGTTCAGATAACATGACACTGATCTGCAGTGAATCAAGCCATGAATTTAAAGAGGAGCCGCATTAAACATTCATGCGTAAAAGCGCATGTGAAATATGACTGTTGGATCAGCCGGGGTCTCAGAGGAGGGGATTAAACAGTGAGTGGAGTTGGGGCAGTGATTGTAGTAACGGGACTCCATTTATTTGTTCCCCTTTAAATGACTGCAGTGAGACAGTGAAGTGAAAGGACAGGGTCGTGAAAGCGGTCCTGTCGTGTTTGATTCCCATGATGGAGACATGAGAGGTTCAGGAACAGTTCAGAGGAGGAGATAACAGAGGAGGGGGCTGCAGAGGCAGAGGGGGCTGGCATCTCATTAACTCAGCCACATGTCTTATTAAAGCAGCTATTTCCTGTTGTGTGCAAAGCAGAGTCATCTCTGTAACACCCCCTGTACTCTTCTTCTTCTCTTCTTCAGAGTGAAGCCAGAGGATGACAGCAGCCAGTCCAGTCTGCAGCCCCGCCTCCTCCCACTCCTCACCTGCCTGCCTCCCAGCATGCCACAGGCACCTGATGACAGGCAAGGCCCTCCAGACCAAGCTGCCCCTGCGCTCCGCCCCCGGCGTGTGGCTTCTCCTGGGCGTAGTGGTGGTCCTGGTGGGCATGAGCGTGGCAGTGGCGGGCTACGTGTCTGCGGCACCGAAGCCCGTGGGAGGCCGCGGCAGCACCCACGCAGAGAGGATGAAACTGACAGGGCCTGTGGTCATGGGAGTGGGCCTGTTCATCTTCATCTGTGCTGCCACGCTGCTGTACGAGAACCGGGACCGGGAAATCCTCAAATACGAGACGTCTGACGACCTCGAGGACCTGAAGGGAGGGTACGGCTGGGAGGACTCGCAGGAGCAGCCCAGCTTCGGCTGCCCGGAGCAGTGGGAGTGTAAAGACGAAGAGCAGGGATCCTGGGCTGTTCCAGCCCACACACTCCCACTATCAAACCAGAGCTGGGGGCCTCCTCTTCCTCCTGCTCTGCCTCGCACGAACAGACACAACGTCAGCAGTTGCACGACATCTCCAGGTGCAGGAGGTGGAAGTAAAGACAAGATGGACAGACAGGCAGGGGAGGAGGAGGAGGGAGGGTCAACCCTGCTGGCCCGAGTCTTGCACCACCAGGAACCAGCTCCTCACCCATCGTCCCCCTGCCTGTCCGTGTCCCATTCCTCCGTCTGCTCGGACTCCTGCAACTCCAGTGAGATCCACTTCAACATACGGACAGACACTCCTCTGCCGCATCAACACTGAACCCCCCCCACCTCTGGTTCAGCTTCTACTGTCTCATGAAACATGCATGATGAGACACATTCTAAAGTTTTCATGTGCAGACGCAGAAAAGACAAGACTATGCATTCCTCAATGAACTCATCAAGCGTGTTCTTGTATGTTTTTGTCCCTTCGAGGGGCGCTGAGGCTCTGAGTCACTATCTGGGAAGGTTTTTCTTTTTTTTACCCCACATCATTCCCTGACTCACTCGCATTTAAAAGATTGGAGCTACGCTGTTTGATGTCAACTCGGCATCTTGTACGTCTTTGATTGCACCCGTGCCCAAAAATCCTGAAAGCCACTGCTTTTCTGACCATATTTGGACGCAAGGAGGTTTGCTGAAAAGTTATTTGGGTGCCACACTCAACTCTTGGCTTTCCCTCTTTCCCTCTCTCAAACACACGCACACACAAACATCCCTGCTGAGGTAAAGCATCTACATTTCTTTTCTTAAGAGGTTCACTGAAGAGGATGAGCCAGATTAGGCCTTAAAAGAGTCTTTATCTAATCTCACACATACTGTAATCTGCTCTTTATCTGAGGAAATTGGGTCTTGGTATAAACAAGAGAAGCACACACACACACACACACACACACACACACACACACACACACACAGAGGCCACACTCCTCTCACTCCACACCTACAGCCACTCTATAAATACCAGCTGATGCTTTGTACACATGCAAGTGCGGACTCCACTTCTTGTTTTTTGTTTTACTGTAATTCAACATTTTGTTGTAATTCTCACTGCTC